CAGCAGCCCGGGCAGGCCCGAGGCGTCCCCGTCCCCGTCCCCGGCGCAGGTGGCGGCGCAGCAGCAGGAGTCGGCCACGACGCAGAAGGCGGAGCGGGAGGTGTCACGCATGGTCGTGGTCATGGTGGGCTCCTTCTGCCTGTGCTACGTCCCCTACGCGGCGCTGGCCATGTACATGGTGAACAACCGCGACCACGGCCTCGACCTGCGCCTCGTCACCGTCCCTGCCTTCTTCTCCAAGAGCGCCTGCGTCTACAACCCCATCATCTACTGCTTCATGAACAAACAGGTGACACCAGCGACAGCGGCACACCCAGGACACCTGCGATAGGGGGACACCCAGGGGCACCAGGCTTTGGGGGYAYCCAGGGGTGTCCTGAGGACCGGGGACACCTGGGGATGGGGCATTTGGGGTATAAGGGACATGCAGCGACACTTTTATGGCTGGGGGTACCCTGACCCAGGAGATGGGGTCACCGTGGTGCCAGGGAGTGTGACGACAGTGCTGGACACAGGAGCAGTGTGTGAGCCCCAGGCTGAGCTGTCGTGTCCCGTAACCCCGTGTCCCCGTGTCCCCGCAGTTCCGCGCCTGCATCATGGAGACGGTGTGCGGGCGGCCCATGTCGGACGATTCCGAGCTCTCCAGCTCCGCTCAGCGCACCGAGGTCTCCTCCGTGTCCTCCAGCCAGGTCAGCCCCAGCTGAGGGGCTCTGGCACCCCCCCAGCCCCCGAGACCCCCGGCTGCCCCCCGGGACCCCCGGCTGCCCCCCAGTGCCCCCTCTGTGGGGCTGGCACTGCCCGGGGGGCCCGGGGGCCCCGGCCAGCCTAGGATGTAGCGCGGGTGGGACAATAAACCATGGCCGCGGTCTGAGCGCAACGGGGACCACTGAGCCTCGGGACCCCACAATAGGGACCCACAATAGGGACCCACAATAGGGACCCCACAATAGGGACCCACAATAGGGACCCCACAATAGGGACCCACNCCAGGGATAGCTGTTCCCCACAGCAGGATGGGACAGGTCCTTTCCCAGGGGAAACTGTGCCCCACAGAGGGGCAGGAGGGGGTCCCAGAGGTGGCTGTGCTCCACAGTGATGCCATGGTGGGACTCTGCTCCCTTGTCCCCCTCAGGCTTCACAGGCAGTGGGGATACACATCTGCATCTGTGGGGCTGAGCCCTGCCTTCCATCGGGCTGGGATGGAGCTGGATCCCCTCTGTGGGGTGTGGGTGGGGCTGAGCTCCCCATCCATGGGGCTGGATCCCCCATCCATGGGGCTGGATCCCCTCTGTGGGGCTGGAGTGGGGCTGAGCCCTGCCTTCCATGGGGCTGGGATGGAGCTGGATCCCCTCTGGGGGGCTGGAGAGGGGCTGAGCTCCCCATCCATGGGGCTGGATCCCCCATCCATGGGGCTGGATCCCCTCTGGGCGGCTGGAGTGGGGCTGAGCTCCCCATCCATGGGGCTGGATCCCCTGTGTGGGGCTGGAGTGGGGCTGAGCTCCCCATCCATGGGGCTGAGCTCCCCATCCATGGGGCTGGATCCCATCTGTGTGGCTGGAGCGGGGCTGAGCCCCCCATCCATGGGGCTGGATCCCCTCTGTGGGGCTGGATCCCATCTGTGGGGTGGGGGTCGAGCTGTGCTCCCCATCCATGGGGCTGAGCCCCCCATCCATGGGGCTGGATCCCCTGTGTGGGGTTGAGCCCCCCATCCATGGGGCTGGATCCCCTGTGTGGGGCTGAGCCCCCAGAGCCTCACGGAGCAGCAGGACTCCTACAGGCCTCACGTCCCCGTTCCCCCAGCCCCCTCCTCAGGCCCCCTCCCACTGAACCCTCCTGGCTCTGTCTGCTGGGGCTCCCCCATCCCAATTTAGGGGCAAACAGGCAGCTGGGGTCCGTCCCCCTCGGCCCATCGGGGGTGAACAGTTTATTGAGTTCCAACCGATCCGGATCCCTTCAATCAGCCCGAGGAGAAAATCGAGGAATAAACCCGGAGAGGCGAAAAATGCGTGTCCAGAGTGGTCACAGGACCCCAGGGCCTCCGGAGTGGGGAGGGTGTCAGGAGAGGCTGCTGCAGGGGGGGTGGCTGTCCCAAACCATCCCTGGTGTCCCAAAGCAGCCCCCACATTTCCAGGTCACCCCCAGCATTCCCGGATTCCCAAGCCCTGCATGGGGCGGGTTCCCAACCCCCTGGATTTAGGAAAAGGAGGAGGAGGAGGTGGGAGAACCCGGTCAGCCCTTGGAAAGCTCTGGGAAAGGATTTAAGGGAAAACCTGCGAATTTAGAGATGGCCAGGCCCAATTCCATTCAGCTCTGGCGGCTGCAGGGGACAAACAACACAGCAGAGGGCAAACGTTGGGAACTGTCCCAGAGCAGGGTGGGATGGGGGTTTGGGGGGTTCAAGGCACTTGGAGCAGGGCTGGGAGGGGGCAAGCCTTGCCCAGATCCAGGGGGTGGCAGCAAGGAAGAGGGGTCCAACCTCCCCGGAGTCACCTCCGGCAAACTCCCGGGTCCTGCTGCTGCTCCGACAGTTTTCAGGGTTTTCTTGGGGTTTGAATTTTCATTTCAATGTTCACTTTTTATTCCAATTTCACATCAATGTTTCCATTTAATTAAATTTCACCTCTCGGGTTCCAATTCCATTCCAATTTCAATTTTAATTTCAATGTTTAATTCCAATTCCACTTTTAATTCCAATTTCAATCCAATTCAAACTCCAATCCCATTCCCTCTGTGAATTTCCCACTCCCCCCAGGCCCCCAGGCCCCGCAGCCCCGGGCAGCCCCATCRCTGCCCCCGCGCCAGGAGAGCCGCTTCCACACGTGGCAAAACCAAAACATACAAAAAGAACCCAAAAGTCGTTAAAATCCAGGGAAAACCCACAACAAAACGAGCCCCAAGTGCCGGGGGTGTGGCTTTCCCCAGCCCCGTGCCCCGGAGCCGGGATGGGGTTTGTCCGCGGCAGGAACGGCCTCGGCAGGGACGGAGCCCATAAATAGTGTCGCTGCTGACTCAGAACTCGTCGTGCCGCACCAGCGCCTCCCCGAAGTCCGTGGCCTGGCTGCCCACGAACAGGTCCGACTTGTCCACGATCTCCTCCCGCGTCAGCTTCCCGTCCTGCAGGGAATGCCACATCCCGCTGTTTCCCCGTTCCGCCATCTCCCCAAACCCCACCGGAGCTGCGGGCCCACCTTGTCCTGGTCAGACTCGTAGACGAGGTGCCGCGCCTCGGCCTCAGCGTGGTCGTAGTCTGAGGGCAGGATCCAATCCTTGGTCTCCTCCTTGTCCATCTTCCCGTCCCGGTTCTTGTCCCGGAATTCCACAAACTGCTCCCGCTCCGTCTTCACCCACTCGGGCTCGTCGGCGTCACCGTCCTGGCTGTACATGTCACCTGGGGGACAGGGGGATCAAAATCAGCCCCGCGGCCCTGTCCCCATCCCAAGGACTGACCCAAAGCCTTGAGCTTCCAAAATCCATCCCCAAAATCCCAAAGCACCACCCGGCTTGTGGTTTCACCCCAAAATGCTCGATGGAGGTGTGGGTGCAGTGCAAGTTGAGAGAGAGAAGAGCATTTTGTGAGGGGAGGGACAGAAAGGACACAGCAGCAGTGGCTCCAGGGGAAGGACACTGAGGGGACACGGAGGGGACACAGAGGGGACACGGAGCCCCACGGTCTCACCGATGTACTCCTCCAGGTCGATGAAGCCATCGCCGTTCTTGTCGATGTCCTCCATGGTTTCCTGCAAGGAGATGTTGGTGTGAGCCGGGCGGGGAGCAACTGCTGCCCCTCTGACCGCCCACCACCAGAGCTCTGAGCCGGCCCCACCTGCACAACGATGTCCTTCATGTAGTCGTACTCCTCGGGGTGCAGGAAGGCCGTGAACTCCTCCTTGGTGGCCGCCAGGTCCCCGTCCTTGTCGGCCATCTTGAAGCGCCGCTCGTCCCGCACCATCATCTGTTTGTAGTTGAAACCATCGTCAGGGTCTGGATCGTCTGGGAAGGAGCACAGGGAGCACCTGGGTCAGCTCAGGCAGGGAAGGACCATGGAAACCACCCACACAACACAGCTACAACACAACACAACACAGCCTCAACACAGCCTCCACACAACCTCAACACAGCCTCAACACAGCCTCCACACAGCCTCAACACAGCCTCAACAGAACCTCAACACAGCCTCAACACAGCCTCAACACAACACAACCTCAACACAACCTCAACACAGCCTCAACACAGCACAACCTCAACACAACCTCAACACAACACAACCTCAACACAACCTCAACACAGCCTCCACACAACCTCAACACAGCCTCAACACAGCCTCAACACAACACAGCCTCAACACAACCTCAACACAACACAGCCTCAACACAGCCTCAACACAGCCTCAACACAGCCTCAACACAGCCTCAACACAACCTGAACACAGCCTCAACACAGCCTCAACACAGCCTCAACACAACACAGCCTCAACACAACACAGCCTCAACACAACATCAACACAGCCTCAACACAACCTCAACACAGCCTCAACACAACACAGCCTCAACACAGCCTCAACACAGCCTCAACACAACACAGCCTCAACACAACACAGCCTCAACACAGCCTCAACACAACACAACCTCAACACAACCTCAACACAGCCTCAACACAACACAGCCTCAACACAACACAGCCTCAACACAACACAGCTTCAACACAACACAGCCTCAACACAGCCTCAACACAACACAACCTCAACACAACCTCAACACAACACAGCCTCAACACAGCCTCAACACAACACAACCTCAACACAACCTCAACACAACACAGCCTCAACACAACACAGCTTCAACACAACACAGCCTCAACACAGCCTCAACACAACCTCAACACAACCTCAACACAGGCTCAACACAGCCCCAACACAACCTCAACAGAACCTCAACACAATGTTCTCATTTCAACCTCAACTCAAACTCAACCTCCTCTACGCAACCTCAATTTCCTCAACTTCCTCACAACTTCAACCTCAATACAACCTCGGTCTCCTCAACCCAACCTCAACCTTTCCCCCAACCCAACCTCAGCCTCCTCCACTCAACCTCCTCAATTTCCTCAACACAACCTCAACATCCTCCACCCAACCTCAAACTCCTCAACTGAGCTTGCTCCATCTCCCTACAGCCTCCCAAGGCTTTGT